GAAACAGTGGGAGGTGGAAAAAAAAAATCACTAAAACAGTCTATGAATGTGAGTTCATCAGAAGCCCAAAATGGAGATATATCTAAAGAAACAGTAGAAAATGTAAAAGTTAAAAAATCCCCCAAGAAATCTACCGTATTAACCAATGGGGAAGCAGCAACACAGCCTCCTAATTCAGAATTAAAAAAGAAGAAGAAGAAGAAGAAGAGAAAAATGGTGGATGATGCTGGGCCTGGTAGGTACTTCATTTTCTTTGAACTCAAGTTGTTCACACAGTTTTTCACAGTTATCACTCTGCCTTCCCTGTGTTATTATTGTCCACATGACATGCAGAAATTCCCTGTACTCGCTGGTATACCACAAACTAGCCTGGGAGCTAGAGGAAACGTTTGTGGGAGAGGAGTGCTTTTAACTTTTCTCAAAATACCGAGTACTGTGTCAAGCTTTTACGTTCCCTAACAGCCTTGAAGAAAACCTCACACTTACATAAGAATCTCCTTAGAATTCTAGAAATGTGCTCTTCTTTTTGACAGTTAGCTGGGCTTTTTACAATATATAGAACACAGACTATGGCATAATATCCTAGGTTTACCTTTTTGCAAACTGAATTGTGGAATTACTAAAGAAATCTGGGCTGGTAGTAGAATCTATCTTCTTTGGCCTTTGTGTATCATTGGGCTTTGCATTAATGATTCTTTTCATTTACTTTTCTGCCCCATTTCTTTTTTCCTACCATAAATTCCTCCCTTTGAAAGGAAACTTAGTGATAATTTGGATATGCGAAGTGTATAAAATAGCAGGAAACTTCTGAATAAATGGGACGTTAATTTGTGAGTAGAATGGCCAGGATAGTATTGGCGGTGGGGAGGGAAGGGCTATTTTCTTTTGGAAGATGATTGGATTTGAATAAGCTTAGGTGAAAGAACAGGCATAATGATTGAGATGTGAGCAAGCAGAGATTTCAAGGGAGGATAGAACAGGTGTCAGCAAACTATTCAGCCTTCCACCTGTTTTTATAAATAAAGCTTTATTGGAACACTGCAGTGCCCATTTGTTCACTTGGTCTTTGTGGTGACAGAGGCCATATGGCCTGCAAAACCTATAATGTTTATTCTCTGGCTTTCTGTAGAGAAAGTTTGCCAACACCTGGGTTAGAATGTCCTATTCATCTATCTCATCTGAAATAAAGGTTTCATTTAGAAAGAGCTTTGAACTTTTCCTAACATGCGTGGCTGTCTTCATGCTGCCAACAGATTAATAACATTTATAGGTTATAAGAAATTGCGTAAACAAAAAGTGAAACAAGATAGAGAAAAGCGTGAGGATTAGACATTACAGTTTTTATTTAAAGTGATTGTAGTGACTTTAGAATTTTTGTTCTGAGTGTGTCTAAGGAAGTGATATTATTTCTAGTCTCACCATTGAATGACAGAGCTGGGAGTTTTAACCCTATTGGTAAACTTTAAGAACTATTTTAAGGAAAAAAAGTGATAAGCCATGAAGACCAGCTGACAATATCCATGGCTTTTGAACACGTGGGTCCTGCAGAGTTGACTGTTTCCCAGAAGGGTAGTAGTAAGGTCCAAGGAAGAGGCCAGTCCTGGGCTACAAAGAGTCCTGAATTGTGGTCTCGGTTAGTTGTGTTCTAACTAGCTTCACTAATTGCCATAAATTTATAAAAGCCCAGCATGGTAGTTTACCTGTTTGACCCAGAGTGGAGCATTAAAGGGTGTGACGGGAGTAAGGCTGGAAAGGTAGTTTAGGACCACATTATGAAAGTCGTGAATGTACAGGTAGAAAGCCAGGAGGCCCTGCGTTTCCTCATCTCACCACTTACTTCATTCAAGGAACAGGCCGGTTTATCACCCAGCTAAGTGGGTATTGCCGTTGCTTTGTAGTCTATCTCTAGTAACATGAAGAGCCTTTGGTTTTCTGTTCATCTTTAAAACAAAATTAGCTTTTTTAGAAAGTTTATGTTTAATGGTATAGGAGGGAAAATCATTGCTTATTAGGAGTTTTTAAATAATTTATGGTCGTGCATTACTTAACAATGGGGGTACATTCTGAGAAGTGCATCATGAGATGATTTCATCATTGTACGAACCTCATAGAGTGCACTTACACAAACCTAGATGGTATAGCCCACTACACACCTAGGCTGTTTGGTACTAATCTTATGGGAGCACCACTGTATATGTGGTCTGTCATTGACCGAATTGTCATTATGCAGCTCATGACTATATTAATCACATGCCCTTTTTTTCCTCAGTGAAGTATATAGGACTCCGTGTAATTAGTATATTTAAATTGTTCGGTTCAACTTTCTAAATATTTCTTGGTCACTTAAGATGGTATAATATATTAAGAAACCTCAGAAATTGTTTTGTTGACAAATCTGCATGTCCCCGTGGGTTTTTAAATATAACCAAATCTTTAATCATAAAAAAAGAGACATTCTTAGCAAGCTTTTGAAAATATGCTCCTTCACATTACACATCTTTTATTTTGTGATCTCATTTGATACTTTTATTTTAAGAAATACATTTGGGGGGGGGTTTGTCCTTTAAAACCAAAGATACCAAAAAAGCAAAAACTGAAGACAAAGGGGAATCTGAAGAAGGCGCCCAGGCTCCTGAACAAACAGAAAACAGCGTGGAGAAGCCAGGTGATGAGGAGGATGACAGTGAAGTGCCCAGCCTGCCCCTGGGACTAACAGGTAACTTCCAGAAAGCTTTCCTGATGGATCTTTAAAATGTCATGCCTCTCTGAATTATAGGATTTGAAGGTTCAAGAGTGACTTAATTTACCTGGAAAAAGTAAGTATTGACAAGAAACGTATTTATATCTAACAGCTTTTTATCTTCCTCATTGTGTGCCTTAGTTCTTGTTGATTCCCTATTTTTTTCCTTTTCTTCATTCCTAACACTAAATATTTTGATGTGTACACAAATGTCTTCTGGGGTCCTTTGTTCCTTTGGTTTGTCATTTTTAAAGCTCATTCCATGTTGTAGGAAAATCATGGGCCCAGAAATCTGGAGCCCAGAGATTTTAGTACTGGTGCAGTTACAGTAAGGAAAGAAGGATGAAATTAACATTATTGAGGGACTTGTGCCAGGCTGACCTCCTTTGGCCTTTGTTTCTTTGTCTGTAAAGTCAAGAGTTTAGGGTAGAATCAGTTGCTGCTAACCAGAAATGTCCAGGAGTTACTGGAGTTGTTTGGTTTGAGTTTTTTGTTTGTTAAAATATTAAGGCCCAACCTCAGACCTGCTCGATCAGAATTGCAAAGGTTATGGCAGTGGTTCTCAGCCAGGGCAGTTTTGCTTCCTGGGTGGGGTGACCAGCTCATCCTGGTTTGCCCAGAATTTGACCAGCATTGAAAGTCCTGCATCCCATAAACCACCTCTGTCCCAGGCAAACTGTGAGGATTGGCCACACCTTTTGGTTGTCAGAACAGCGGACAGGCTACTGGCATTTAGTGAGTAGAGGTCAGGGATGCTGCAGAACATCCTATAACGCATAGGACAGCCTCTCACAACAAAGAATTATCCAGCCCAAAATGTCAGGAGTGCCAAGGTTGGCAATACCTAGGATAGAGCCAGGACTTGTATGGGGTGGGGAGCTCCCCAAGGACTTTTGATGCCTTCCCCTGCTAAAGATCCACAGCACACTGGATATGTGGGATCAGCCTTACAGACTGTGTCTGTATCTGACTCTTCTCAGTTGTCTCTTTTAGAGTGAAATTAACTGCTCTTTTGATTGACTTCAAACTCAGTTTTTATTATACTAAATGTTTTCACTTTTTATTTCAGATTTATTAAACATTTCATTTCTCTCTGAACTCTCTCCCACCCCAACAGCCTTGGCATTTTCATTTCATACCAGTCCCTTGATTTTACCTCCTCTCCATCCCTTATTATTTTGTTACACTAGGCTCTGGACTTGAAATTATACAGCCATCAGCAGTGGAGACACTTCAAAAGTATAGGATCTTTTTCTTAATATATGGGAATGGTTGGGGATTAGTGTTTTCTTACTGGAGGAAGCTCTTCTAAGCTTGATTGCAACCCAGTAATGCTTTCAGGCAGCAAAACTAATTTAGGCAATTAGTTTGCCTAAACTAATTAGTCAGTATTGACTATTAAAAAAAGATAAATTTGCTAATGATAAACTATCTTCTGTTTAGGAGCTTTTGAAGATACTTCATTTGCTTCTCTGACTAATCTTGTCAATGAAAACACTCTAAAGGCAATAAAAGAAATGGGCTTTACAAACATGACTGAAATTCAGCATAAAAGTATCAGACCACTTCTGGAAGGCAGGTATGATTAACACTGATGTTTGGGCATTAGTATCTATTTTTAGTGCTAGTAGTTTGGAAAGGAAATGCCAGTATGTTCTGTTGATTTTGCACTGTCTGTTGGGTCACATACCCAACCTGCATTAAAGACTTTAAGTTATTTACTGATGTTTGAAGAAAGTATTCACTTCTGTTTTATAGCATGATTCTTATTCTTGAGTTGGGTATTTAACGCAGGTGATAGCTTTCAGTGGTAGAGAGGTTTGGGACTTTGTCTTTCTTCTTCATGTTCTAGCGCTGATGCCCAAAACATACGTGATAGTAACGTGGTAGGTGTTCAGTAAATGACTTGTTGAATGAGTAGACTAAATGTCTCTCTCCTTGCCTTTTTTAATATTTAGGGATCTTCTGGCTGCTGCAAAAACAGGCAGTGGCAAAACCCTGGCATTTCTCATCCCTGCAGTTGAACTCATTGTTAAGTTAAAGTTCATGCCCAGAAATGGTAAGTCTTTGTTCTGATTTCTTCTCACTAGTATTGTAGCTGTTATGGACTTGTGATAATTACAGTTTGGCTTTTACCGTATATCATTTTTTCCATTTTAGGAACAGGAGTCCTTATTCTCTCACCTACGAGGGAACTGGCCATGCAGACTTTTGGTGTTCTCAAGGAGCTAATGACACACCATGTTCATACATATGGATTAATAATGGGGGGCAGTAACAGATCTGCTGAAGCACAGAAACTTGCTAATGGGATCAACATTATTGTGGCCACACCAGGCCGTCTCCTGGACCATATGCAGGTAAGAGAACGCTGTGATGTAGTACCTGGCTCATTGTCTTGTGTGAAACATAAACTTGACAGCTAACAGTTTTTCTTTGTCTTGTTAGAATACCCCAGGGTTTATGTATAAAAACCTTCAATGTCTGGTTATTGATGAGGCTGACCGTATCTTGGATGTTGGGTTTGAAGAGGAATTAAAACAAATTATTAAACTTCTGCCAAGTAAGTAGGTAGCATCTGCATGTGGTTTGCAAAGTAGTAGTTGGAAGTAGGTGAGGATTGTTCCTAGATGAAACCTGTTAATACCAGGATTTTAATATAGCCAAGAGAAGTTGTGCCAGTCAGCTTTAGAGGTAGTTTGCAATACACGATCAAACTTACTAGTAACTTATTACAGTGGTTTTGCCATTTTAGAGGTTATAATGCAAGTTAAACAGTCCTAACCTGTCATTCCCATGTCGCCGTCGCCCCCCCATCTTACTTTTTCTTATCTCATTCTGACGTCTCCCAGGTAGCCGTGGACTTGTGGCCTTTTGTGTTATATTTGAGTTGTACATACCTTGGTTACAGTACTTGCAACATTATAAACTGCTTATATCTGTGATAAGATCATGGTCTCATTCATTATACAATTTGTTTTTAATGCTTTATTGAGGGAAAATTGACATAATAATCTGTACCTATTTTAAATAAACAATTTGATAAGTTTTGACATGTTTACACCTGTGAAACCATCACCACACTCATACAGTGAACATCTCCATAACGCTCAAAAGTTTCCTTGTACACCCTTGTAATCCCTCCCTCAAACTCTCAGTAGGAACAACCCTTGCCTGCTTCCAACAACTGCTCACACACGTCTCTCTCTCCTAGGAAACTGTTGATCTGCTTTCTGTTACTGTAGATCAGTGTGCATTTTCTAGAGATTTATATGAATGAATATGAATCATACAGTATAACTTTTTGTCTGCTCAGCAAATTCTTTTGCGAGTCATCCATGCTGTTACATCTGTCAGTAGTTCTTTACCTTATTCCTCAGTAGCATCCCATTGTTGAATATACCACAACTTGTTTATCCGTTCAGTTGTCGATGGATGATTGTCCTGTTTACAGGTTTTGGCTATTACAAATAAAGTTGCTGTGAACATTCATCTACAACTCTTATTCTGGGCATATATTTCCTTTTTGTCTTGGGTAACTACCTAAGAGTGGAGTGGCCGATGTGTGTTTAACTTGTACCATTTTACATTCTCATCAGCAATGTGTGAGAATTCCAGTTCTTCCTATTAAGTCTTGAAATTAGGTAGCATTAACCCCCACCTTTGTTCTTTTTCAAATTGTTTTGGTTATTCTTGTTCTTTGCATTTCTATATAAATTTTAGAATCAGTTTGTCAATTTCTACCCCGTAAAAAAAATTTCTACCCCCTAAAAGTTCTGGGATCTTGGTTGGGATTGTATTGAATATAGATCATTGGTGAAAGGCAATATTGAGTCATTCAACCGGTGAATAGGTATACCTCCATTTATTAGCTCCTTAATTTATCTTAACAGTGTTTTAGAGTTTTCAGTGTACAGATTTTTTCACATCTTTTGTCAGATTTATCCCTAAGTATTTCATTAAAATTTCAATTTCAAATTGTTCATTGCTTATACGTAAATACAGTTAATTTTTTTTTATTTTGATCCTGTATCCGGCAAGGTAATTATTACTAGACTCAACTGGATTGTTCATTATGACCTTCCAGATGAAGCTAGCCATTGGATTTTCTACATAGGCAGTCATATCATCTACAGATGAAAAAATGAAATTCATCACTTAATTTTTTTCTCGCTTGACTGCACTGGCCAGAACCTCCAGTACAACACTGAATACAAGTGGTGAGAGAAGACGTCTTTGTCTTATTCCTAATCTTAGGTGGAAAGCATTCATTCTTTCACCACTAGATTTTTTGTAGATGCCCTTTATCAGATTGAGGATGATCCCTTCTGTTCGTAGTTTGTTGAGATTTTTTTAATCACAAATAAATGTTATATTTTGTCAAATGCTTTTTCTGTGTCTATTGAAATGATCAGATGTTTTTTCTTTAGTTTGTTAATGTGGTAAACTGTGTTGGTTAATTTTCAAATGTTAAACCAACCCTGCATTCCTAGAATAATGCATTATGATGCATTGTCCTTTTTTATATATTGCTGGATTCACTTTGCTAAAGTTGTGTTTAGTAATTTTGTATTTATGCTTATGAATCGTTGGGTTTTGGTATCAGGGTAATGGCTGGCTTCAAAGAATGAGTTGGGAAGTAAACTTTCTTCAGTGACCTGGAGAATTTGTGAAGAATTGGCAATATTTCTTCCTTAAATGTTTGATAGACTTCACCAGTGGAGGCCATTGGGGCTGGAGTTTTCTTTAGATGAAGATTCTAACTACAATTTCTGTAATAGATACAGGCTATCTGGGTTTTCTGTTTCCCTTCGAGTGGGCTTTAGAAGTTTGTCTGTCAGGGAAATTGTCCATTCTATCTAAGTTGTCAGATTTAAAGATATAGAGATGTTCATCATATTCTCTTAATATCTATAGTAATGTCATGTCTCACATTCTTGCAAATTCTACTTAGAGCATTTGTAGTTGTGAAGCAATTCTAAAGATTCCCTGAAAGATTTTGGTTATTGTTATATGCATCTGTTTCAGCACGCAGACAGACCATGCTCTTTTCTGCCACACAAACCCGAAAAGTTGAAGACCTGGCGAGGATTTCTCTGAAAAAGGAGCCGTTGTATGTTGGTGTTGATGATGATAAAACTAATGCAACAGTGGATGGTCTTGAGCAGGTAATTTGTGTCAATATGTTAAATTTTAAGGATCTTCTTTGGTGTTTCCTTGTAATTGTTTGGATGATCATCCAGAAAGCAGATGGATTAATGAACTTTTAATTCAAATATAGTAAACTTGGGTATTGCATCTCTGGCTCTTCTGATGTACAGTATCTTGAACTCTGAATAATTTGATCAGCTCTCTTTACTCTGTTTCTTAGTACTGCTTGCCATGTGGGAGGTTATTAATCACTACCAGTTGTAGGTGGAGTAAAAGAAATTTGTTGTTTAATAATCTCTTGCTCTAAGACGTGAGATGAGTTAGAAGATGGAGAGACTGGTTTCACCCACATAGCTGTGGAAAATTGGAAATGAGGTGACAAAGATCCAAACTAGGTTGATTAAAAATAGAACTTTAAGATTGAATCTTTTGATGAATAAAATATTTTCCTATAACGATTTAGCTTAAAAACCTTTCATTTGTTGTTTAGTTTTTAAAAATATATTCACCCAGCTTTGTTATCTTGTTTAGGACAGTGCACTTAAGCTGTGGCTATTTGAGATCTTGCTATTTATTAAGGACCTTTTAAAAAATCTTTGGTGGGCCTTGAGGGTTCTGATTAATGGAGGTGTTAATATATTATGGTTGCAAGAACTATTGATAACCAGTAGTTGGAGAAATATGAAAAATATTCAGTACCCAGTGTTTGCAGCCAGTAAAAGGGATCAAAAGAGCTAAAATTAGTCTTATCTTACGAATGCTTTGTTACAATGAAGGCAGTAATTTTGTTATAGGTAAGGCATGACAGTGTGTGTATGATGTTTGTCTGTGCTCTCTATCAAATTATATTGGTTCAAGGAACTGAAAATGTCCATTTGATTATTTTGTATCTCTTCACTTGAACTGCTTCTAGGGATATGTTGTTTGTCCCTCTGAGAAGAGATTCCTCCTACTCTTTACATTCCTTAAGAAGAACCGAAAGAAAAAACTAATGGTCTTCTTTTCATCCTGTATGTCTGTGAAATACCACTACGAATTGCTGAACTACATCGATTTGCCTGTCTTGGCCATTCATGTAAGTGATTATGAGGAGTTTATTAAAAACAGGTTCTGCTTATCAAGTTAAATAGATTGTGGGGTTTCAGGTATTACGCTCTCCTCTAAACAGTTCTGAGTAGTTCAGTCAACATTGGGTGATTGATCCTGTGTGGAGGGAGCGTTGCTGGGTGTGGAGGAGTGAGGACCACCAAGGAATAAGAGACGCTGTCCACTTGGGTAAATAGGACATAGGCCAGGGAGTGAACTTGAAATCAGGTTAACAGGTCCACAGTTTGGGGGTCCTGCATCTAGACCTCCTAGAAACAGCTGCAAGTTTCTAGCTCTAATGGATGTTTTGATTTGATTCCAGGGAAAGCAGAAGCAAAATAAGCGCACTACCACGTTCTTCCAGTTCTGCAATGCAGATTCAGGGATATTGTTGTGTACAGATGTGGCAGCTAGAGGGCTGGATATTCCTGAAGTTGACTGGATTGTTCAGTATGACCCTCCAGATGACCCCAAGGTAACGGGCATCCTTGGGGTTTCTCCAGAATGGCTCTACATTAAGGAATGTACTTACTCTCCAGATTCCCTGAGAAATACCACATTTCACATTCAAAGGTTTATCCCTGGGTCATTCAGGTCATGTTTTATTGTACAGTGATTGCAGTGTTTCTCTGGTGCTGATAATATTTAGGGCTTTTGCAGGACCCAAAGGGCATGTGCAAGGAGATTTGAGAGGCATCAGTGAGACTTAAGTTAGGAATATTATATGCTTGGGATGATCTGTGAAGAGCAGTAGGTGTCAGAAGGAAATAAAATTTGCTTACAGAGATAGATAAGATTCTGTGGTATATGTAATAAAATAAGTTATATTAAGTATGTTAACAAATAATAGATTATATAAATTATCAGCCGGCATTTAAACGTGTTTTAAAAAGCCATTTTGAGGATGAATCACACTTAATAGTCATTTTGCTAGATCATAGAGTTAATGTGAGTATCGTGTCCAGCCTTCTTTCGGGCTTGGTCGTTGCCCTGTTACCTCTTTGGAGATGGTGCAGGCAGAAGGAATGACAGACTAGCTTTGGGGAACGTGGTGAAGGTCTGTGTGGCACAGCCCTGGAGAAATAGCACCATCTCATCCAGATGTGCTGACACAGTTCTGTCCACTACCGTGCACTCCTGGAAGTGCACACTGCCACAGGTTCTGTGGAGGTTAGTGTATTAACTCAGATTTTCTCTCTTCACCAAAGGAGTATATTCATCGTGTGGGTAGAACAGCCAGAGGCCTAAATGGAAGAGGGCATGCCTTGCTCATTTTGCGCCCCGAAGAATTGGGTTTCCTTCGTTACTTGAAGCAATCCAAGGTAAAGATCTTGGCTTGGAAAATCTTAAGTTGAGAACAGATTCCTCTTGATAGGCATTGTTTGCCAGTGCAGATGGCCTTAAGCACCATTTCTCGATGTGTCCGAGGAGTCATGAGTCATTGCAGGGCGATTAGAACAGTTGTTACAGTGAGTAGTTAAGCAAAGGAGATTTTACATGGGTCCAGCCCAGGAAATGTGAACAGAAAGAGCTACCCACACAGCTCAGTCCTTGAGCTCGTTATTGCTCAGCAGTGCATCTTGTGTGCCCAGGCTCTCCTTTCCCATTCTATACAGCCCTGTTTGAAACCTCTTCCACTCCTTCTAAGCTCCCTCACACCTGATCATCTCCACCTCCTGCAGTCTTCTCCACGTCTCTTCGTCCTGACGTCTTTCCCTCTCACCTCACCTGAAGCTGTGGGGATCCCCATTCACTCCTACCTCTTCCTCTCCTCCTGTCCCTTGTTCGTCAACTCTGTGTTTTACCTTTAATCTCTCCCTGGCAATTGGCTCTTTACTATCTCAGGTCTGACTAAAAAAAATAACTTCAGGGACCGGCCTTGTGGCCAAGTGGTTAAAGTTCTGCAGGCTCTGCTTTGGCAGACTGTGTTCACAGGTTCGGATCCCAGGCACGGACCTCCTCCACTCATCAGCCATGCTGTGGTGGCATCCCACGTACAAAATAGAGGAAAACTGGCATAGATGTTAGCTCAGGGCTAATCTTCCTCACAAAAAAAAATTAACTTCAACCCTAAACCCGTTCTCCTACCACCACCTCCAGCATGGCTACTCCTGTTGCCTTTCTTCAGTCTGCCATTTTGAAAAGTGGTTTGTATTTTCTCCATTTGTTTTCCACTCACTCTGATCTCCAGCCCACCCTAATCTGGCTTTGGCCTCATTCTGTCCACCAAATCTGAATTCAGTAGAATCATAAGTGGCCTCTTTGTTATTAGATCTTGTGAACACTTGTCAGGCCTTCTCTTTCCTGACGTTTGCCTCCTCTGGCCTCCCTGGCACAGTGTTGCCAGGTAGATTTTCCTCCACCCCGCAGCTAGGTGCAGTTGCCCAAAATTGCCCTATAGCCTTTGTACTTTTTCTCTAGAATGCCCTTTTCCTGGATCTTTGGATAGCTTCTGGTTTCAACTAGCTGTTATCTCTTCTGAAAGCCATCACTGATCTCCTTCATGTTCCCACAGCACAAGTGCTCATCGAGTTGTCATCTCATCACTTATCTGTCTCCCTCACAAGACCAAGCTCTCTGAGGGTGGGTCCATGACTTGAGCAACTATCCACCCCTCCAGCTCCTAGCACAGATCTGGCACTTTCCAGTTATCTAGTAAGTGAGGGCTGGTAAGAAATCTTTCCTTCCTGTAGGAGTTTGTGGTCATCATGACCTTGGTGTCACAAACTCCAGTCACAGGGTAGTGTGGTGTTAGGGCAGCTCTCCTGACATGGAAAGAAGGACTAGGGGTCCTTCTAACAAGAAGCTTCCAAGGGCTTCATTGACTCATTGTCCCTGTCTAGTTCCTTGCCTTTCCTTTTAGGAAGCTTTCATAGCACAGTTCATGTGCAGTTAGCAGAGGTGAGATAAGACTCTTTCATTGGCATTGGGAGACAAGAGGAAGCAGATGTCTGTCCCAAAGGGAATTCCCACAGGCCTAGTTGTCCTTCCATCATTTCCCAGCCATTCATAAGACACTTGTCACTTCTCTCATTCATCTGAAAGTCTGAATGTTGATCCATCCTGGTTTACTAATCTTCATGCTTTTGTTTTCTAGGTTCCATTAAGTGAATTTGAGTTTTCCTGGTCCAAAATTTCTGACATTCAGTCTCAGGTATGCTTTTTTTTTTTTTAACCTGGTAGCCTTAGCTTCATCCCAGCACTGCCATCCCAGTGTTTCATGGGCGGCCATTGTCCTCCGCATCTCCCTTTTCATAAAATGAGAAGTTCGGACTGTGTGATCTTGTAGCTTACTGCATTCCTGTGCTCTCTACCTTGTTCCAGTCCGTAACTTCCAAGAACTTGGTCATTATTCGTACTGCAGCCTGATTGTGCATATATTACAAAGCTTAGAGCAAGTGTATTGGAACAAACGTTTTTTACAGAATGATTTTGTTTTAATATGTATGCAGTCTGCTTTTTTATTTTATTAAAACCAATGTGTCTTTCCATTTCAGCTTGAAAAATTGATTGAAAAGAACTACTTCCTTCATAAGTCAGCCCAGGAAGCATATAAGTCATACATTCGAGCATATGATTCCCACTCTCTGAAACAGATCTTTAATGTTAATAACTTAAATTTACCTCAAGTTGCTCTGTCATTTGGTTTCAGGGTGCCTCCTTTTGTTGATCTGAGTATCCTTTTCTTTGTTGTTATGAATTCTTCCAGAACCTAGGGGACAAGAGCTTGACGGAGAGCCGTTTGGGCTTAGCTCTTGGGTTGGTGTGTGCTCTGGCTGAGGCCTGGAGGCCCAGCTGTTCATCCTGGTCCCTGTCTGCATGTCTGTGCTGGCACGGAGTAGGCAGGGATTAATTATCAGAGTGGGGATTGCAGAAACAAGACAACTTATGACTTAGGGCTTAAAAGGGACACAAGAATTTGACTGGCAAACAGTGGGAGCCAGAGGGAGTTGTGCATTCCAGAGAGAAGCACAGAGGGATAAAATTGCAGGGCTCCAGCAGTTATGAGGCCTCGCTGTACGAGGTATGTGGAGGAGCAGGATGCCCTGAAGCTGAAGACTTTGTGTCCTCTCAGAGCCACTGAAGGACGTCATACAAGGAAGCTGCAAGATCAGCAAAAGAAAAGAAAACTTAAGTGCTGCCTAAGATAAAAGGCAAAGGGAATAGCTCCAGGTGTTTCTGTTGTAATGTGTGCTTTATTATCACGTTTTCAGCAGAAGAAGCTGAACCAGCTAAAGTGAGGCCTGTTCATTAACACAGGCAGTAACTCCCGAGGGAACTAGAGGACCAAATTTGGGTCACCATTCCCATTGTAGGCATCGAGTAAATGTCTGTTGTAATGAATACATGTTGAATCATGTGAAAGGAACAGCTCCTTCACTTGGTTAAGCATTCCTGAATCAGCTCCGAGCAGAGGTGCAAGTCATTTGTTTTGACACTGGCAATATTTTTTATTGTGTTCCTGTAAACTTGCAGATTTACTTCTTAACTCATTATAAGTAATTGTCTTCCGTTTTGTTGTGTGGAGGAAGAATTAATATGACTGTTACACACTGGGCTTAAAAATCATATCTGCTAATTTTAGTTCACAATTACTTGGCCTCTCCTAATTTTCTGCAAGTTTGTTGCACAGGCGTATGTTGACACGTTTTCATCGTTGAGGGAAAGGTTGTGGTAGAGGGACAGTGGTTAAACAGAGGGACAGAGGAACAAACCAGAGATACATCCTGGTTTGTTCTCTGTGTATATGTCAGATTGGAGTTCATTATCTTGGTGTTGCTTGATTTCCTTAACATTCACCTTTAGACGTGAACAGCAATGAAGGCAAGCTTAGAAAGAGAGGAGGCGGTGGTGGATTCGGCTACCAGAAAGCCAAGAAAGTCGAGAAGTCCATAATCTTCAAACACATCAGCAAGAAATCCTCTGACAGCAGGCAGTTCTCTCACTGAAGACACTCCTTTCATCGTGAATAGCTTTGTCCTGAAATGGATTTTTTCTCTTTGCTCTAACAAAGGAATGTTTGTAACTGTAGGATCTGGTGGCCTGCTCTGACGAGGGTATAAGTGGACTTGGGTTGCAAGCACTAAGACTCTTATTCCCAGCGAGTCAGTCTTATTTCAGGAATATAAAACAGTCCAGTTTTTCTTGATTGCCCAAGGGCAAAGCAAGGGATCTTTTTGGTCTTTGTTATGATGATAGAACATTTTAAGTTTAAATCTTTTTCCCCCCAAATTTGTCATTGTTTTAATATAATTCTTTTTGTGCCTTTCCTTCCTGGAGTCTGGAGATCTTTGCGGCACGGATTGCTGTGCAGCCTGCTGTAGAAGGCAGGTGACCGAGTCCACCACACAGGTGGTGGTGCTGGTGGCAGTGCAGAAAGTTGTCTCGGTTTATGTTTTGGTTTTGGTTGTTTCTTGGATCTTAACAGTAGTTCTTGACCCCTGCTGAAAATGCTGCCATGTCACGGGGCAGACAGCTTTGGGAGATACCTAAGATGCATGTTCGGTTAAAGGCGGCATCAGTTTTTATATACTAGATTTTTTATGCCAGATTTTAAAACAGTGAGCATTTCTTGGTTTTGTTTTTTTCAAGATCAAGAAATGTGGGTTGTCATTGTTATTTGGATAAAGCACCCCTAGCAATCCTAACATTTGAGTGGGGGGCAAGAATCAGATTTTTGAGCCTCATTTACACCATTATAGGCATAATAATCTGTTTTCCATTTGGTAACTTGGTAAAGACTTTAAAAAAAGAATAGGCACAGAGAGTGGTGACACTCCTCATTCAGCCTTGGGTCAAGTGGTTTAGATTTGGGTGAGCCCTCCCAACTCTGCAGAGTACTTCGAAGGCAAGGCCGACTCGTAGCAGATTTAAAGCCAGGCCATCCAACAATGCTGAGCACACATAAAGTTCGTATCTTTTTGAGAAAAATTACCTCTTCCAGATCCATGAAACAAAAATAGATGTATAGTGAAAATTGGAAATGAACCGAGGTCAGAAAGAGCAGCACAGAGAGTGGTTTAGTCAGATGGGGATTTTTGTTATAGGAGCTGTTGATTTCTAGTGTGTTTTACATTTTATGTTTTCTAGTGTATTTTATAACTACAAAGTGGTATTACATTTTGTAGCAAATCAAAACCAAAGTGCTAGCATCGTTTTGCTATTGTGCCAGTTAATATTTATAGACTCCTAAGTACACCGAGAACATCAAGTTAGAGGAAACAGTCTAATAAATAGCATTTCAGTAGGAAAAGGAACGATGTTCTGCACGTGGGCACGAGCACTGTCACCCTAGCTGGGCCTGTCCTGGGTTTCAGACCTCAACTGCTGGACTCCTCGTGATTAATTACTGTTTCTCTATCCAGTAACTTGTTTTTCTCTTGTTTTAGAAATAATCGTGTTTCAAAAAATATACAAAAGCAAAAGGAAGAATATTTAATTACTGAACAGAAATAAATACTGTTGATATTTTGGTATATAACCTTCCAGTGTTTTGTATACATACTTTTTAATTTTTTTGTTAAGTGAAGTCATCCTGTACCCACTATTTGTAACCAGCTTGTTACATAACATGTCACTTGCCCGTGTCATTAAAAAAATTACATGAGTTTTGTATTTCACTGATTGCTATGCTTTGTTGACCTTGCTTGGTCGGCCTGGATTTGGATTCTAGACACCTGCTTGTCCCAGGCTGGCTCTCCTTGTCTCAGCATGTCTAGTGCCTCGTTCGTCTTGCCATTGTTGACCTACACTATGAGTAAGTCAGTCTACAGAGATGTTGTGAGAAAAGTAGATAAGCACAAGATAGAAAGATCGTTCCTACTGTACTAATGGCTTAGTAGTCCAGACAACCAGATGACCAACCTGGCCAGGATTCAGATGTGAGGGAGCCAGTTACTAGAATCAGATACAGGGTCAGGGCAGCACCATCTACAAGGCTCATTTGCACAAGGAGAAGGGATCCTTAGGTTCCTGTGCTAAGAACACAGCTGCTGGTGGCATATATGGGGCCGTTAACTTGCCAAATGGGATTAAGTGGCTTCAACTAGGAAGGTTTGGCAGCATGGGCTGGGAGCCAAGCAGATCACTACAAGCAAATAGAAACCTTTGGGTCTCCTGGGCTGCAGGCAATAAGTCATTGCTATATCTACACTTATTTTGGTCAGAATTTTTGTCTTAACTGGCCAGATTAGTGTAAGTAAAGCTGAATTCAAGATAACCAAAAAAGGATCTTGTTTATTCAAAAATAGGTAGTGGTTAAAAATGAATGCTCCATAACCAGAATGCCTGGATTCAGATTCCAGCTGTTCCTCATATTCTTCTGTGCCTGTTAATGAGTTAAACAAAGTAGTAAAACCTACTTCATACAATGGTGAGAGCTGAATGAGCTAACACGTAGGGTGCTTAGGAGAGCCGTGGTGCAAAGCACTGTACCTGTTAGCTGTCTGCGCTATGTCCATCCTACACGCAGGTGTGCTGCCCAACAGCGTCAGGTATGGGGACTCACTGCAAATCCTGAGCCGGTTTGGGCCTTTTGTGGTACAACAGTGGGATTTGTGACAGTGTGGATTCCCTGGAATTCTGAAGATCAGACCCTGGTGTTAGAAAGTGCCCCAGTCCTGCAGCACCTTCCTAAGACCACTGTCACAGAGATGAATGCAGTTTCCGGGCTACTCTGGTCTGTGCTGGGTGTTACGGTGGAAGCAACAACAAGGTGCCTTTGGATAACCCTAAGTCATGAATTAGAAGTGTGTTAGGTGCCAGGAATTGTGTAGGGGAGACAGACACATGTGGCCAAGCTCCTCTGAGGAACCTGGTTATAGTCCAGAGAAAGAAAAGAGGTCATATTGCGATATTGTTTGCCACGTCACGTGATAGATGCAAATTAAATATTCCAGCTATTTCTAAGCCTGGAAATTCTGCCTTCTTGGGTTCTGGTGGACTTGAGTTGATGAAAAGCTGATGGAACCTTCTCTGCCTATGGAAGGCAGGCTTCTATTCTAGGAAGTGAGTTCCCAAATGCTGATTGTGCCACATGAGAAATACTGAGATTTTTAAAAATTTTCTTGCCCCATGCCCACAAGATTCTGATTTAGGCCTTTGGTGGGGCAGAGGAAACTCTAGATGATTGTCATGCACAGCCAGGTTTGGGAATGTCCAGCCTAGAATCCATCCACATATAACCTCTTAATAAACCTTTTAATGTTCTCATCTTGCAAAGTGAAAATACCCAACACAGGAAATGGTCTTACTGTTCAGTCATCCACAAACTAGAGTGGCCCAGACTTGGGCTTTCCAAGAGGGAAACAGCTGTGCATTTGTGGGAATGCCTTATGTGGAAGAAGCACACTGTAGCACAGCATAACAACCATGGCCCCATGCCTTCCCCAGGCAGACAGCCTTGAGATCCCCCAGCAGTGCTCCATTCCATTGGAATTCAGTTGATTGGTGTTGGCACAGGAGATGAAACCCATTTGCCTTGGCCACATGTTTTTAAGAAGACCATTCTCCCCTGTAGGACTCAGTATCATCTGTAATTTAAAGGGGGACAGGAACGTTTACTGGGTGACCACTGTAGTCAACATTTTTTGTTTGAGGGCTGCCCAACATCTAACCTCCTTCCTGTGTTTGGAGACCATGGCATTTGAGTCCTGGTGGGTCGTGAAGATCACTTCCCATCAGGAAAGCAGAAAAGCCTCCCTTGCAGCCAGGGCAGGGTAGTGACCTAGGTTTGATGGGTCAGATACACCTGCCTCAACCCTGAATCAGGTACTAATAAAACAAAGGAGCAGAAACAAGTAGCTGCTTCCTCATCCAGAGTCCAGAGGCCGCTGCGTCCTGCATTGTCCTGCATCGTCCTGCCTCGGGAGCAGAGGTGGTTCTAGCTGTGGCCTCCAGGCAGCAGCTGTTCTTAACGCCAGGTTGATAGTGGGGCATGACTTTGGCTGTGGCCCTGCCCGTTATCCAACTGCCCCTATTCCTGCCTGTTTTCCAAGCCCGGTTCTCCAGCCATCTGTTATCATTTCAATAAATTCCTTTTCAATTTAAGTCATTCAGAGTGGCTCTTTGTTGCTCATAAAGAAGAACCTAAAGAAACAACCCTAAGGGCCCTCTAACATTCAGTGATTCCTAGGTTTGGTTTCTCTCTCCCCCTCTAATGGTGGGTAAAATGTCCAGGTTGCTTCCCACCACTCATGCTCTCCTTACCCAGAGCCTCCTGCTCCTGAGAACAGGGAAAATGGTTGATTTGGAGCAAAGCCAGGACTTGAAACATGAAGGGCAAGGATGTGTCAAAAAAAGAGCAAGTGGCAAGCTCACCACCTCCAGGAACAGATCATGAAGAAGCTAGCATGGATCTGGAGGTTTAGGAGGCAGGAAAGAGTGGGACCTCCAGCATTACTCAGAGCCTAGTGGGAGTACTTGCCCTGGAAAAGGGCAGGGCTGATGGTCCTGGGACCTTCCAGGGCAGCATGTTCTGGAGTGAGGCAGAACTTGGTGTGAGTCCCACCTCCCCTACTTACAGTGAGGCTTTGAACAAGTTACTTCCCTCTCTGTGCCTCAGTTTCCTCATCCATAGAAAGGGAGGAAGTAATGCTATCCACAGGATCAAATGCAATAATGCACGGGAAGCATTTAGCACAGAATCCGGTCAGCTGTTAGAAATGACAACTATTGAAACTACTACCAGGCACATCAGAAAAGGGGCAGATGTGTCAGAAACAAACAAAAAAAAACTGTTTCCTAGAACCTACCTGCTTTCTCACACCCTCCCCACCATCAAAACATCCTAGTTTCAGATGCTTGAGGCCAATAAACTCTCACTGTTCCTACGATTCCCAAATCCCCCCAGCAGAGGGCGCTCCGCCAGGGCTGAAGGGTCAGCGATGCGGCGATGAGAGCACTGAGCTCCCACAGGCACCTCTACAGAGGATCCTCGAGGGGTTGAGTGGTCTTCGTTTTGTTGGCAGAGGAGGGCTACAGGGGTCCCTTCTTCCTCGGCTAGAGAAAAGAGAGGACCAAGTAAGGGAGGAACAGGGACAAACACTTGCCAGGCTCCATCGTCCTCAGAGCTTGTGTTTAGCAGGATGCTGAGAAATGAGTCTGACCCCGGGGAGGCCAGGCTCCCAGCGGAGCCTGTAGATACTTTCACTTCTCTAAGCCTGCCCGCAGCCCTGGGAAGGACAGGTATTATCCTCATGTTACAGAGAGGAAAGGGAAGCTCAGAAGAGGGTCAATAACAGCTCCTGAA